AGGTGTTAGCAAAAAGGTGAACTTAACCTGCCCTGCCAGTGGCACTCATCACAAAGCGCATGCAAAGACAAGTAGAATGCTCACCTGAACAAACACATGAATAATAGTTTTGTATTACCATTGTAGTTTATCCCAAATATGAGTTAAGGCAGAGTTCCTGTTTACCGGTAATTACCAGGTATTTTTACCGGTACCTTTAGGCTTGGACCAGTAATTCAAGTGACTGTCTTTGTTGTTGAACGAAACATCATCAATATTCATAGAAGTATATTTTTCAAATGAAGTCAGCTTGTCTCTTACAATCAGCGTTTCCCCTTGTCTATTTTTCGTGCAAGGAAATGGCATTTTGCTTTGCTTTGAGGTTAAATATCCATTTGTAGCGACTTTGTCTTGAAATATTTAAAGAAGAAAATTGTGACTGTAGTTTGTGTGAATGATGTGTAGATCTAAGTAAGTTACCTCAGAGATGACGTCCTTGCACTGAACATGACGTTGCAAGAATTAAAATCAGGTAATTTTCATACATGTTTTTGTTAGTTGAAAGTTGTGACTGACAAAAAGTAGGGGGACCGGTAATTTTTAGAGTTGCCTTTCCATCAGGACTGGCAGTTTCAAAAGCAATTGGGGAACACTGGTTAAGGATTATGAATTTGTGACTTGAAATGAGAAGCTGATATTTTGATAACATATGTTGGGCTATATAAAGCTTGGCAGAATCAGATGTAAACTGTAGGTGATTGTTAGGGTAGTCTCCATGGATAATAATTTACGCAAAAAAGAAATGATTCTGTCACTTTGATGAGATTATGCTAACACAAGGGCTTATTTGGCTTGCCCACCTTAAAGTCACATACAGTATGGATAAGTTTATACACCTGTACATGTTTGTAGGTGAAAACTGTTCCCTGTCAGTTGCATGTGCCTTTACAAAAATAGTTGTGACCACATTCAAACTACAGTCAAGTCTCGTTAATCCGACATCGTTGGTTGCACATGATTGTGTCGGATTAACGAGTATGTCGGATTAACGAAATTAAGTGATTTGTGATCGAAAATCGGACGTCTTCACGATAGATAATAACCGTGTGTACCTTGTAATAAAATCATTAAAAACAAAATATTAATATTGTTATGTTGTTTATTCATTCATTCCTTAATTTATAATTAATGACTGTGCAAAAATAATAATAATTTTCCCATTTATACATAACAATAGAGACATTACTCACTGAATTTATCACATGATCAACGACACGTTTCCTCGTGTAAATGCAAGTGCTACTGTCTTAACAACTTGCTTCATCTACTTAAAATAGTCTGTCAGTGTTTTCTGTTTCTAACATTTTGAAGGCACATTTCTCAAAGTCCCCTGCTCGCTTGACGTCTAGTGCTTGTGGTTCTTCAGCATCAACATTGTCGAGGTGTAATTTCATTTGCTGTTTCTTATAATAAAGCTTGAAATTCTTTATGATCCCGGCATCTAGTGGCTGAATGTGCGATGTGGTGTTTGGTGGCAAAAAGTGACATTTCACATTAGTGATGTCGACAGTAGCATGGGATGGGGCGTTGTCCAACAGCAATACCACGTGGCGTTGCTTCAATCACATTTGCCGATCCAAGATCAGTAGCCAGGCTTTGAATATTAATGAAGTCATCCATGCTTTCTTGTTTACATACCAGTCGACCATGGTGAGTCGTCCATGTGTTATATACCTGTTCGTATTTTAAACTGGCTTCATGCACATTTATCTGGCTTCAATTTGTAAACTACATTTGTATAGCTTTGTACATACAGGTTTGAATAGCTTTTCCTGTTAATTGTTAAGTTAATCTCTGCAGCCAGTGCGTGTCAAAACACGGGGTTGTGTAGTCGCGGTCAGATGACCACGGAGTACGCTGATCACTGTGTCGGATTAACGAGACTGTTTAATGAGTGATATCGGCAATTCGTTGCAAATTAGGTGTGTCGGAGTCAGAGTGCGAGAATGTCGGATTAACGGGACTAAATAGCACTGAATCAATCGGTTCCCATCATTTGTGTCGGATAAAGCCGAGTGTCGGATTAACGAGTGTCGGATTAACGAGACTTGACTGTACCGTATTCGACGTAATAAGCGCCCCGCTCTAATTAGCGCCCACGGCGATATTTGCTAAGATATTGGCTTGTGAACAATCTCAATTAGCACCCCTTCCGATTGATCAATGTACACAAGACTTATCTTTTCGTGTATAATACGCACTAGTGTCTTATATGCACACTTAATTATGGGCAGTTAAATTCTGGAAAAAATTATCTGTCGTACATAAACATTTCAGGATGTCCGCATAAACCACAAAATTTATCTTTCAACTTTTTTTTCTTCACCAAAATAATATTCTAATAACAACCCCCTATTTCTATATTTTGAGAGCGCCCTTGGCGCTTATTACGTCGAATACGGTATGTCAAAAACCTTCTGAACTAATATATGGAGCTATTAATTACTATTATTGGGGAAGTTTTCTTGACTGCTGTACCTTTTACCTGATTTGAACTTTAAACTATTGTGGCTAGATTATCAGCCAATAAAGCATTCATTTTGAAAGATGAAGTTTCTTGCAAGATTGGTTAACGTATTCTTTTTGCAGCCCTAATGAACATTTACAGAAACACATTCATAAGTGACATTTTCTTTCCTATTTCTTTAGATGACTTGTCGCGGCGAAGTCGAATGTTTGAATAATGTATGATATGCAAAAACACTTTAAATGTAACTGTGACAGACTTCCTTGTGGAACCAAGAAATTAACTGAAATATGTGAATAGAATCATGTTGAGTTGTTACTTCAAGGTTTGGGTATAATTGCTAATGTCTTTATCGCTCTCAAACACTCTACTACTGTGTAAAAGACAGCAAATTTTATGGCAATTATTACAGAATATTAATAAGAATGTTTCCTTGCCCGAGTGTGGAACACAGACATACCAGTAGGTTTTGGGACCCGTGAAGATCTGGGGTAGAATAGGTCTTCAGCAACCCATGCTTGCCGTAAAAGGCGACTATGCTTGTCGTAAGAGGGGACTAACAGGATTGGATGGTCAGGCTAGCTGACCTGGTTGATGCATGTCATTGTATCCCAAGTGCATGGATCGATGCTCATGATGTCAATCACTGAATTGTCTGGTCCAGACTCGATTATTTACAGACCACCGTCATATAGCTGGAATATTGCTAAGTGCCGCGTTAAACAACAAACTAACTCAAATAGGTTTTGGTGACCATTGGGTCATCCTTTGAAGTTGAATCACACGACAAAGATTGGTTATGTTTTGTGTGTATCGTAGGTAAATGAGGTCCAGTTTCCACTTTTACTTGTAGATGTTACTATATTCTAAACATTTTAGGTTGGTTTTCTTCAGGGATTGTTTAAATAGGGAAATTTTAGTGTTTGATGCTATGTATGCTAGCACACCCTCTGGATGACCATAAGTGTCATCTTTATCTCATTTATCCTACTTTCAAAACATGTATAGATTGTGTGAAGGGAATGTATGTTTGGCAAACTGTATTTTAAGGGTGCTTCAAACACCTGTGTCTGTTTTGAAAGGTGACATGCCTTTTTAAATCTGTGATTTACTTAAAAGTTACTACTCTAAACTCCAAAGCCAGACTTTCATGAAAGGACATGATCAGACCCTTTTTGGTAAACTAGATCTGTATTACTTATTAAGTGGTCAAGAATTGAAAAGTTATTGTGAAATCAAAGGTATTAATATGAATGGCAATTATTTTTTTCTGTTAACATATCAAACACTTGCTTGTTCACTATTGTCTAATATTTGAAAATGAAAACTTAACTCAAATTTATTTTCATCTGTAAAAAAATAGTGAAGACAATATTTATTGATCTGTTGAAAGTTCCTTTAGGATTCCAGGGTACCACATTTGACACAGCCATTCATCTGCTAGTCTACTAGTCTAACACTTGAGAACAATTGTATTTCTATCAGTGTTCATTCTATTTGGATCCCTTATGAAATTTAATTTGAAAATAGTGGGTTCCTTTGAAAAAGGGGAACTTCAAAGAACTTGGTGATCCTTACTCTTAGCATGTCATGTCAGTTTACACATACTTGTTACGAAGTTTGGCGATCTATCTGTCATTTATTTTGATTTCTTGTGCTTGATGTCCATTTTACAAGTCATAATTACTCATTTACGTAAAAAGACATCCAAGGAAATAAAGCCTAACCCTTCTCTTTCAATAAACTATCTGTCATAGTGTGATAGTGACAGAGGGGTTGTGACATTTATGTTGATAATTTCTGACATTTAGAAGAGAATTTTACACATGTTAGCATAAGCCTATGGTAACAATGTTTATATGTGACAGAAGCTGTTCAAAAAGCCTGTTGTGTTGTGTTTCACTTGAAGAACATTTGACACTTTAATTTGCCAAGTTTCATCTTTTTAATATGTCTCAAAGTATGTTTACAGTGTTTAGACAAATAAGGTTTCTCATATATCTATCCATGGAGATACAGTCCAAAGGCCAGACCTGTTGTTTCATTCCTCTATCCCACTGCTGACTAACTGAGGATGTGTGATTGTGGTGATTGAAAACAGTTTATGGCCACTGAGTATGACAGATGTTTTTGATCTGAAACACATTCCTTTGTGGTGTTTTTGTTTGTTTAAATATTGCCTGAAGTTATAACAGTGATTTTGAATGCAAGGTGTGACATCAGTATTTGATCACCCATACATGCATTTAAGTGAACTTACAATACAGTAATATAAATGGAAAATAATCCATCACAGGATTCAGGAACTGTAACCAATCGAACAGAGATGAATTTGATTATTTGGGAACTCTTGGTAGGGTTTGAGTTGTATCTTGGGTTTCTTCTTCTATTCTGGCCAAGAAAAGAAGTGTTTTGTTTGACCCTGTTTCTTCTCCGGGAGGGGATAATGATGAGGGGAGTGTTGTATTAATTTGTAACACTGTTTTTTCTCTAGTAATGGCAGCCAGGAAGGGGAGAGTGAAGGTGGTGGCAAGTTGCGAGTGGGGGAGAGACGGAACAGTTCATCAAGCACATCTAGTCGGCACAGTATTACCAGCAGCAAGTCTAAGAAGATCAAGATTGAAGACAAAATCAAGAAAGAGCCTTCAAGTCCAGACAAGCATAAAAAGGTAAACATTGCCTTTACAACAAGTAAAGTAAGTCTCTTTTTTTTTAGTTAAGTGTACAAGACTACAATTGAGACACATGTACCAAAGAGAACCAAATAAATTGAAGTAGGATTGGTGTTGATACTATCCATGTTCTCCCCTTTCTAAACGTTTCTCCAGTTCAGAGGAAAACAGCAACTAGCCAATATGCCCTCTAACATTATTTGTTTATCTAATTCCATGTTTTAACAGTGATAGGCACAAGTGGACTGCTGTCTTCATAACAAGGTTTCATTTACAAACTAATGGGTCATTAAAACAATCATTGACCATTTATCCAAAACAAATGGTTTGCTTACCTCTTATTTTTGCCACTTGAAGGAAACTCATAATATACCGGTATGTTTATTGTTCATATTTGGGACTATATACACTGAACAACAAAAGTTCCTGTGACATTGAATAAGATTTAATGCAAAGTTATGTTTTTTTCTAAATCTGAAACAATTTCGGTTTGCAACAGATAAAAGACTCCTGTAAGTGTTCAAATGGTTTAATTTGCCATACTGACTTCAGAAAATGCGTGATTTTATAAAAAAAAACACGAACATGCCAAAATGTCAATTTACAAATCAATAGCATGTGTGTCCACCTCTGGCTGCGATGCAAGCAACACATCTTCGTCTCATGGAATGGACCAGGCGTCGCACAAAGTCCTGTGGGATATCTGCTGGAGCATGTTTCGAAGTTCCTGGAGTGTCTGTGTAACATGTGGTTGACGTCGAAGGCGCCGATCCATCTCATCCCACATGTGCTTGATTGATGAGAGATCAGGGGAGCGAGCCGGCCAGGGGATGACATTCACGTTGTTTTGTTGAAGAGAATCCTGAACAAGTCGAGCAATATGAGGTCATGTTGAAAGGTAATGCCTGGGCCATGACAACGCAAAAACGGTAGAACAACAGGGCCGATGATCTCGTCGCGGAAGCGCTGTCCATTGAGATTTCCCTCCACCACTATCAAACGGGTCCTCTGTCTTGCTGTAATCCCACCCCATACCATAACGCTGCCGCCTCCGAACCGATCTTCTTCCATGACACAGTGACTGACGTAACGTTCACCTCGACGTCGGTACACTCGAATCCGTCAATCGCTGTGGCTGAGGTGAAAACGAGACTCGTCAGTGAATAGAACTGGTCCCCACTGCATGGCCATCCAGCGTAGACGCTGTCTGCACCACTGTAGACGTGCTTGACGGTGGTTTCCTGTCAAAATGGGACGTCTGGCGGGTCTTCCGGTGACAATCCCTGCACATCTGATGCGGCAAGTAAGGTTTGTGAAGATATTTGTTAAAGGCCAGGGATGCTTCTTGCAGTCACTGTTGCTGGCTGGAATCGATTTCGTAGGTGTGTTGTTCAAATCCAGTTGTCTTGTCGATTATTGGTTACGTATGGCCTGCCACTCCGAGGATGGTCTCTGACTGCATTCGTCTGTTGCCAACGTTGCCATAAACACCATATGGTGTTTCTGTAGACATTAAATTGTCTTGCAACATCATGTTGACTCAATCCTGCTTCAAGCATACCAATGGCTCGCAGACGCTCATTTTCAGGCAGGCGTGGCATTTCGTAATGTTTAATAATTGCGTAATTTTGTTGTTCTTCTCAGTGTTTTTTGTCAGCACAATGCTAAACAATGCATATGGAATCCCGTTTACGAACATGTTTTTATACCCATTATTGGGTAGTGAAATGCATAGGGCTTGCATAAAAGTCAACTTTTGCATGGAATGCATGTTTTTCTGTAGCAGTTGCGTTTTTGTGACTTGATTCCATACATGTACCACAATTTTGAAAACCAAACTTTACTTGTTTGAAAAATACACTAAAATACTGGTGTCACAGGAACTTTTGTTGTTGAGTATAGAATACAATCAGATTCAGTCTATCACGTCCATAGGTGGCTGAAATTGGCCATAAAACCTTAATAACACGACAACGGTAGTCAAATTCCACTTTACAAAGTCACTGCTTGACTTAGCTCTTCCAATGCATAGTATTTCCTGTTTATAGTCCGTAAGACAGCGAGTCTGTTTTGACCAGATTGTATTTTTTTCAGGGGATTAAAATATGTTTGAGATGCAAACTTAATTCCTCTTATGCTGACTAGGCACCGGATTTATTTTTACATATATGATATTGCCTGCTATCAAGCAAGGCAATAGATGAGAAACTCTGGAACGTCTGCTGACCACACACAACTTACCTGCTGACAGTTATATTACAAAACAAGATCATTCTAGACAGGAACGGTTTCTGTGAAAATTGCATTGAGCAATTTAGAAATAGATTGCGGTGGTTTAGATTTGTTTTTTCTAGTAGCCCACTGAATAGTGCATTAGCATTTTACTTGTCCACATGTCATATTCTACCAACACAGTTTTCAGTTCTCACGATTGATGCAACTTAATTAAAAGAGCTATTGACAGTCCATCTCTTTTATTCATTCATTAATGATACACATCTATTTGAAATCATTAGTACATGATGGACTCTAGTTTTTTGTAACCCTAGTTTATGGCCCGGAATCAGCAGAATAAATTTTTAACCCCAAAGGGTGCAACAGCTGCAGTAAAAACCCAGCTGTGTCTGGTATTTGCCTCCACACACCATTTTCTGTCTTGATATACAGTTTTGACTGACGAGATGTAGAGTAGGAATATACCAATAGCACAGGGGTATGTATTCTTCATCATCTATTTTATTGAGTTTATTGTATTTTTTTTTTTTAATAAGTCAAATTAGAGAAATTATTGTTTTTGATATTGGAAATTTTCAGTGTCAATTTACATACAAAGGGACTTGCAGGTGGCATATGTTGTGATGATCTATGATCAGTTGGTGGCTGTTCATTGTGATCATTTCACATAAACTATTTGAAGTTCAGTGTCTAGAAGTAAACAAAAAAAAAATCTGTACTTCGTGAAAATGATCATTCAAAATACATGAAAGATGTGGCATGGTCAGATCATACATGTATTTTATCTTGGAGGTCCCAACTGAGACGTGCAGTTGACAATAGTTGAGGAGATATATGTAAATAACATGTGGCAGTGGTCCCTTCCTGACATGTATTGTTTTAACCCAGTACTGGAAATCCCCCATAGTCATCTTACTTACACCAGCTCCTAAACAGTTCGGCATGCAGGCCTTCAAGTGCAGCCTGGTAAATCCCCATTCAAACACAGGCCATAATAGCTTTCAGCTTGTCACAAGGAGAAACTGCATTCCTATGATATTCTCAACATGTTTTCAACATCATAAGATTTATATTTTTTGGGGAAACTGCTCATAAGAATGGCATTTTAATATTAGTTAGAGACAGATATCCTTGTTACGTCATTTTCAATTTCAACTCTCTTCCGTAAGGGTATATTCTTTGTGCTACATTTGATCAGCATGTTGGTTTAATCATGTATATTCCTGAGGACAGGATATATATATATGTATGAAATTTGATCAACACACAGACATATTTACTAGTTAATTAATTAAATGTGATTAAAAAGTATTATTATTTGTTTGAAATTCCGATACAAGTCAGTTCAACTTATAACATGAAATGAAGGATGTATTGTATTGGTGTCTTGCAAATGTGTAACATCTTCAAAAATAGCTATTAGAGACGTGACCTGGGCTTTATCTGGATCAGTTATGCTAACAGGCTACATGTGTATGGTTGCTGATATGTTTGTGCGAGCAAGACACAGCCAAGATAGCTGGCCCAGAACAATGATGACTGGGCTGACATTCCTGTCTTGTTTGGTCTGGCAGGCAATCGGCTGATATACTGCAGCTCATACAGAACTAGTTACAGTAAACATGGCTTCACCAATTGATCTTGTTCACATAACACATCTTAGGGTTTTACTATGTATAGTGTCCCCTGGTAATTACGTGTAAATACCTCAATATGAAAACTAAGTTGAAATTGGCAAAATGTTTTCACAATTGTCTGTTGCTGATATTTTTCCACCCTTTTTATTTCCTTTCTCTTTCTTGTTTGCTGTTGACTTTTTTGTGTGCATTACTAGGTACCTGAGTGGAGGATTCTGGAGTGAATATCAATGAATACCTTCTTTCAAATAACAATAAAAATGTTTCCAAAACCATCTGTACCTCTTGACTAGAATGCATGGATATCTGATGACCACAAGTTTGTATGCCACTAGAATTGACCTAACTGTCCGCCATTAGACCTAGCAAATTTGCTAACAGTGGTTATTGGATGCAGGTTCAGTTGCCGTTTTGTTTGAAGCTGATGCAAGTGATATGAGAGGTGGAATCTGATTGGTCAACAGGTGGGACATAGAAAGGACATAACTCGTAATAGCCAATGGTGGCGCTACGATCGAGCCCAGAAATTTCAGCCTAGTTGGCAGGGTGGAAACTGGACTTTTTCACTGAGTTAACTCCCATGCATTGGGAAGATGCATATAATATCATTTGTATCATTTGTTCTTTTCCTTTAGCAGCAGCAGCAGCAGCAGCAGCAAGATAAGAATGACTTGCCTCACCAAAATGGCCAGGATCACCTGCCCTTTCACTCTTACAATGAAGAAAGTAGTGTCAAGTCAGACACAACTCAGGATAATGCACCACGGGTACCACAATCTGGATATCACCAGGATGAAAAGTGAGCTTTGAAGAATCTCAGTTTATTTAGTGGTTTAGACAAGTATGCAAAAAATGGTAAAACTACTTACATCTAGACAAAATGGGAACCCCTCTCAAGTAACAAGTATCTTCACAGGATACTTTTGTTTTACATATGTGAATGATAAGGAATAATTGTTACATTCTTCATACCATATTTTCCTATGAAATCAATGAATGGAGAATTTTCAAAATGTACTGTATATGTGTTTCAGGTTGGAATCGGCAGAAAGATACTTAACTAAGGCTAAGGAATTGAAGCACCTTGCTGATGTAAGCCACCATTCTTTACAGTACATCATGCCTTGTAATTGTCTTCTCCACAGTTACATGATGTATCATATTGCTGAAGGGCTTCACTTTATAACTGATTATTGAAGATCTCCATATATGCACAATACACAAGATTTTTTAAGAGCTTCACATATGGAAGATTTGGCTCCACATGCATACATGATATATCATAGTGTTGAAGATCTCCAGATCGGCATACTATAACAGATTATTGAAGAGCTCCATCTATACATGATATAACAAATTATTGAAGACCTTTACCCATGAAGATCTGGATGGAGAATAGGTCTTCAGCAACCAATGCTTGTCATAAGAGGCGACCAACACGATGAGGTGGTCGGGCTTGCTGACTTGGTTGATGCATGTCATCGTATTCCAATTGTTTAGATTGATGCTTGTGATATCAATCACAGGATTGTCTGGTCTTATAGCTTGAATATTGCTGAGTGTGGCAAGAAACAAATGAATTGAAGATCACATATACATGCTATTACAGATTATGGAAGAGCTTCATGATATATCATATTGCTGAAGAGGTATGTGTGTCGGACCCTACTGCAGATTAATGAAGCCATGACATTGATTCTGTTATTGAATTATATTATAATTAATCATGCAGAATCTTGTCCATCAGTAGGCAGTCCTATTCATTCCAGGCTTTGTTGTGTGTTTAACAGAAGGACAAACCAGCCAAATTCTCCTTGTACATCAAGTCAGTGTTGTCATTTGTCCAGTGTGGTTGCGCCATGGAGAAGGAGGCAATCAGTGAACCTCAGAAGATATTCACCATGTATCATGAAACACTTCAACTACTCAAGTAAGTGACATCACCAACAAACCTGTATTATGTGGAATTTCCTTTAAACATGGGATGTCCTTGCTAGTCTAGATTTGTATAGTAACCACTATGCTGTACAATAGATCACTATATCGATTTGAGATAGACTTTTGTGCAAAGACAGTAGAAAGATTATGTTGTTGTAGTACCATATTTTCCTGTGTATAATGCGCAGCCCCATTCTGGAGTACAGATGTCTTGAAAAAATACTGTCTTGTCTCAAGGTGAAGTCTTTGTTGGAGAAAACAGGAGATTACTAAATTCATATGATATAAATGTTTTTGTTTTGGCATAGCCCTATGTTTCTTGTCTGATATCTGATCATGTTTTCTTATGTTCCAGACAAGTGATCCGTGTGCGGGTAACATGCATCGACCCTGATATGCCCATCACAGACAAGAGGTTATCAGTATTATTGTAAGTGTTTGAACCTTTCTCTGTGTTAGTTTCGGTGAATTAGGTAAAACAATAAAGCAAGAAACATGACGGCCCGGGGGACAGTTACCATGGTTGCAAGAAAGTGTTTCTCAGTCACCTCAGGCGCCGCGATTCGCTTTGCAGAGTTGCATTCCTTGGGCACACCAGAAACCTAAGATTGTGGGTTCGAATCCCGGTTTGCCTTGATTATGTTTATAGGTTTGTCAGCACAATAGCCGTGATCGTGGGTTTCACTGAAGTGGTAAACGTCTGAGACCTGCATCACTTCAGGCTTTCCTCCCACATTAAACTGACACGCCCTGATATAACTGGAATACTGTTCAAAGCGGCGTTAAACCCAACTCACTCCCTCGGTCACTCACTCAGAGGATACCTGCTATGAATGATTCTTGTAGGGTTAGAAGTAAACTCCAAAGCTTTACTAGCCCAGGTAAAGATAAAATGTCTTTGGAATGTTAAAACAATGGGAAATTTAAAAAAATTGTACTAGCCCGTAGGAATTTGTACTAGCCCTGGGCTATCGGGCCAGTGTTAGGTTCTAGCCCTGTCTTGTGTGACATGGCTACTGTTTTGCAGAAACTGACCACTAGTCTCTGTATATATGTAGACCGTTTGACCATGGATTTGATACTGTGAGTGAGCAATAGCCAGCATGTGAGTGAGTTAAAATTTAATGGTGCATCGGCATTATTTCAGCCATATGGTGATGTAATCTGTCTGCATGACAAAGCATTCTTCTGCCAATAGGTTTGCGTGTGTGTCATCAGCTGACACATGAGATGAGTCGCTGCATATTGCCCAGACAGTATATATATGTATCTCTCTATGAGACATGAGTCACATCATGTTTGATTACTTGTCATAACCATACTTACTGCAGATATATTTGTCTGACCTGTGTGCTGGGTCTTAAGGCTGGCTAGACTTGGAAGACAACATAACTCAACAGAACTGTTATGACCAAGGTCTATAACAAAACTCCGTCAGATCACAAGTAGTTTTGTTGTAGACTTTGGTAATAACAATTCTGTTGAGTTATGTTGTCTGTGGCAACTGTTGTAATGGTTGTTAGAGTATATTTTATGAGAAAGTTCATGGTATGATATTTTCTCCATTGTTTCAGATTACGCATCCAGTCATTGTTATGTCTCAAGTTATTTCAATTAAAGAGGCCAGAAGTATTGAAATTCAAGAAAATCATCGACGCTGACAACACCAAAGTAAGTACTAGAAAGTACAAGGTACTGCTGTCTGGACATGTTCCATTGAGTTTATCACCTTATTTGTACTTACTGCTGAAACAACACATTTTATGTTGTCAGTTTGGAAATGATACAACCTCTCCATGTTCTGACCATCCAAGTAGAATTTTTTATAAATTCATAGACCCGTGGATGCAGACTGTTTTGTGATTATATACAGAAAAATATGAATTGGTCTTATTACTTTTGAGGCATGTTGAGATTGTAGAAATGGTCCATGGATGAATAGTATTAAAAAGATTCTTGAGAACACTGCTGCCTTTGATATGCATTAACAACATTTTTGAGCCAGTTTCTGAATCATGATTTGTGTTTTGTAGACTGCCTCAGCCAAGTCCCCTCATCTTAGCAGCATACCCAATCGCAGTATAGGAACCCCACCTCCCATCTCCCCAACACGCTCCCCTGCTGGCAGCATTGGCTCAGTTGGATCACAGGCAAGTACCACTCAATCCTACAAACTCATCTAATGGCGGAAGTCCATGATGGAGGGGACATAATTCACCAGCTATATAACATGTCACATTTTGATGTTTGACATAACTTAATATAGAAATAGTTAATCTATTTGACCTGTTAGTCCCATTTTTTAAACATGTTTGAAATGAATATTGAGACGCATGATTTGTAATGGGCATGTAATATGTACATAACGAATGACTTGAAGCAGTGTTTGAAATTATGCGAGAAAGTCTAGGGATCCTTGTCATCAACCTAATGTTAAAAGTGAATGATTTAAGGGGTTGACCTCAGGGAACCCACGAAGCACCTTAATTTCAAACACTGCATGATGTCATATTTATTACTTGACTGTCTACAGGGTAGCTGTGACTTGCCATCCAACAAGCTGACAAATGGTAACTTAAGCTCAAGTGCCACCACTCCCATGTCATCGCCAGGGACAATCAATGTCTCCCAGCGAATGCATTCCGTCATGCAACAATACATCAACTTCTCTGGTTATCTGGTCACCAGTCATGATCTCTGGTTGCAGGCAGATGTTGCTGCACACGAGTTTAAAGGTATGCTGAAATCTGAAATTTTAAAGTGACTTGCTTGTATTTTAATTATATGCTTCACTGGTTTGTAATAAAGGATCTCATATTTCATTTTCATCACTTGCAAATCAAGTGGGGATAATAAGAAAGATTGTTGGCTTCCCTGGCCTGAAAGGCAAATCTTCCTTCATCGTCAAAATCCATAATCTTTTTATCCCCCCAGCATATGATACGGGGTGATATAGCGATCAGCCAGTGTGTCTGTCTATCCGTCTGACTGTCCGTAATCATTTCCTTTTCCGGGGCAGAACTCGAAAACCATTCAGTGTCTTTGATCGAAACTTGGCAAATCTATCAGTCACATACTGAAGTGGTGCCTTTTGCTATTTTGTAATTTAAAAAAAACCCAACTATTTTTGCTATTTAGGAATGTTTCAAAATTTCATTTTTTGGTGTATCCATGGACACAAGTTAGACTTTGCTGAAATGGGGGTAGGTTTCGTTCCTGGAGCAGCACTAAAAACTGTTCAACAGTGTTGAATCAATCAAACTTGGAACATGTACTATTCAGGGGTTGAAGTGGCGCCTTTTGCTAAGGACTTTAGATATTTTTTTCCTGTTTCGTTGGCAAGAAGTTTGGCTTTGACTACATCTTTAAAACTAATAGGTATTCTTCCTTGAAACTGTGCACACATATGACCAGTTTGTCATCTGGTGCCTTTTGCTGTTTTGGGATTGTTAGAATTTATATTTTTTCCGTTTCCCTGGCAACAAGTTTGACTGTTCATGTTCATGTTGGTGTGTACATGACATAGAAATACAAAGTTCCGAAGCCCAATTCCATGGTATTGTTTTGATAGCTCAATAACAACTCTTGTATACTGACAGACAGATCAAATAGAAATTCTTCATCAAGTTGACTTAACAGGCAGATAATTTGTCCTTTCGAATTTATAGGAGGATTTGTCATCTTCTGATGACTCTTGTTACATGTTCAACTTCTTGTCTAAAATGGCTAGACAGATTTGGCTGAAATGTTTGCTACTAAAAGGGTTTTTGTTCTAGGCATAAAAAATGGAATTCCATTTTTGTTTAAGAACAAGAAAAATTCATAACTCTTCTCCCATTTGCTGGGTGAGATGGTCACGTTGTGTTGTACCAAGTTTGGTCAAGACATCTGTGCTTGACCATACATAGTATTGTGACCATATTGGAAATACTAAGAATCATAAGTTGTCTGCTGTAAACATTTACTCGAGAACAAATGAACCAGCCATACTTAAACTTCACATGCTTTTTACTTCCAATGATGACTCTGAATTGGTTCTAGAGGTTTGAATCCAATTTCAAATATTACTGTCACTAGAGTCAAATAGAAAACTCTATTTATGGACATTACTTAAGTCAATTTTTGTTCGTGTGTAATTAGCAGTGGGGCTCAAACATGTTTCCTGTGTTTTTGCACTATTTTGAATTTTGACCTTTGCACTTGACCATGTTAAAACTTGAACTTCTTATAGCTATAACTCAGCCATTTCTGTTTAAGATGTATTGCATTTGGTATATGTGTATTAGTAGAGGTGCTCAGTACATATGTTCCATTTTTTGGTGTGTTTGACATTTTGACCTTTGACCATATCACTTTGACCATGCTCTCAAATTCTATCAAAATGCATTTCCTCATACTCTCTCCTCAAAACCACTGATCCAATGAAGCTGAAACTTTACATGCTTGTTCCGGCCAATGATGACATCTGAATAAGCTCAGGAAGTTTGAATTGGATTTTCAATAGTGCCACCACTGCAGCTACATTGAAATGCATAACACATCTCAGTCATAACACAGCCATTTCTTCTCACAATGTAATCAAATGCTCTTAAATTCTCTCATGGATGTCTGGCTTTGTAAACATCTTCTCTTAAGGTCCAGACTGAGCTGAACTTGGCATGTATCGTTCTCCTTATGATGATATCATATTTTGTCCAAATTGTACTCTCTCCTTTTTGTGAACAAATGGAAATATTGTATAATATTGTATGGTGTTAAAACAAAAATATTCTGTGGTCTATATTTAAGGTTTCAGTGTTAAGTTTATTGGTTGTGTAATGCAACAATATTATCTACATTGTTGCTGATTTAGAAACATTGTGGATAGTTAGTTTCATATTTGAAATTACTTTTATCCTCAGTACTCATGCAGGTAATGTTTGAATAGTGGTAACTGTTTGAATAGCAATACTGGCAGTGACTTGGGTTTAGTGGATGCCCTTCGTGACATTTTAAACTTGTGACTACATGTCCAGGTGAACTCCAGTGTTGTGGCACTATTTTTTACCTTAGGGGTGTTTCATATGACTAGTTTAGAATTAGTGTAGTTATGATGACATGTGATATCCAAATATGACACATTATCTGATTATTTTGTCATGAAAATATTCAGTATGTTATATCTACATGAACAGTTAGTAAAATGGTTAATCATGTATTGATTTTCTCGTTTCAGAATTTTTTGATGTCCTTGACAACACCTGTGGCCCTCTGTCCTTACACAGTAGTGTCTTACAACTGGTACATTATGTAAATGAAGGTCTACGCTTACTAAAGGATACATGACATAGGGCTTGTCCCAGTGCTCACTGAAAAGACAACCAGGTGCTGAACTTAAAATGGTCAACAGCCTGATCACAGTCTCAATCTCATCATGTGATAAGTCAAGGACTGAGAATATCGACTCCATAAGTGCTCCCTTCACATCTTGGCTGCAGCATTGTGAAATCCTCATCATGCCAGACATACATGCCAACAAAATCTTAAGCATTTCAGTGTACTGATCATCAACTTAGCCTATTGTCACATTCTCTATCATGAAGACATGTTCGTTAATGGGAGAGTCACCGCATCATGAAACAATGAATCAAACTCAACGAGAAAGAATACCAACACACTCTTCGTGGCTCAGCTTCAATTCACTCTTGAACTCTTCTGACAGACGTTTTGTCTTCCAAAGGCGGCCATGTTTTACTCAATGAACGGAACATATCCAGCTAGGTACTGAAGGTATATCCACAATGCAACAAATTGCCAGTTGATGAATCAATTCCAGTGGCTGTATAACAGCCAACAAGATCCATTAGATCCCTGAAATGTATGAAGATTGATTAACCGATATGTGCCCACTTGATGGCCATCACCATAAACCAGTGCTCATCATTTATTGTAATTTATTGCCCTGGAAGAGGAGCAGCTAATTACATGCCTACAGTGACTGGCAGATCTCAGTGTGTTCCCACTCTCCTAGTCCACAGCCAAATACAGGCCTACTGACCTGTGTGTGTGTGTGTGTGTGTGAACAGACCTCTCTTACTTCTTACTGCAGACAGGCAGGCTAAGTCATATGCAATTCCTGTGGATGCACGTACACAAAGCCTGCACTGAGAATCTCACCCTATTAGAAATGATGGTCTGATGCTGCATACAGTTGGTTGGACATTCTGACACTATGAATGGTAGACTGTTAGAGTTGACAGAATGTGCACTTGCTGCTGCTGCTGCTGCTGCTGCTGCAGTGACCACTACATTGGGAGGGAAGTTGACCCCTCAAAACATGTGGCTTACTTTTGTACTCACATGACTATTTTCTGTTTGTAAATTTGTGTGGAAGACTACCACCAGTTTGGATTCTATTCTCAGCTGTACATATTCTGATAACTTTTTGAAATGATGGTATTTCTGTTTTTAAGTCCACTCCACTCACTGTGTTATACCCAACTACCTTTTATGAAATTGTTTGGGATCCGTGTGATGTCCCCTCTCCCTATCACCCACCCCTCTGTGTTGCTGTTCTTCATGTTGGTGTTAGCTCTCCATTAGGTCGACTGACAGCTCCCTAGCTTTAGGACTCGATGGATGTCTATGGCTGGTTGGTCGACCTGCACAAGTGCTGTGTCCTTATTCTGTGATTCTCTCTTGTCTTGTACTGTTGGATTTGGGAAATAACCAGTCAATGGGCTCATGATAGGAATCAAAATGCCAAAAGTTGTCCAAAAGACTTGCACATACATGAAACTGTATTTTGTTGTTACAAGAGTGATGAATTATTTAGAGGAAATCAAGGCACTGGAAAATATTTTTCAGCTTTCCATGTATGTGCATGGCAAAACTTATCATAATATTTTTCTTAGGGATAAGGGGTTCATGTGTTTCTGCTTCCAGTTTATACATATATGGTACAGTTTCATGCGTCTCATTTCTTTTTTGTCATGATCATTTTTATAAATATATATATACATACATGTATATCTTTATATATATATATACATATACACTCCAATATGATGGTGTTTGAGCCAGTCAATTTGGTCTGAGTCAGTAGCAATAGGCCCATCTTGTTTTGTAGCTTTCAATCATGTGACAATGGGTAGCCAGTGGTGCTGCTACTTGATGACTATCGAGGTTGGAATAACACAAGGAAATACTCCACAGCAGATGCCATGACAGCTATGACATTGCCACCAGCCTACTTGCCCATATCCTGGCTAGCACTGGAGACAACAGTATCCCAATATGTTGTAGTTGTGTATTTTGTTGTGTTAGGGTAGAAGGAGAAAACATCTGAATGTGCACACACCTCATTCCAACATCGTCATCAGTAACACATAGGTGGTCATCATCTCACTGGATTTTCCCATGCAGTAAATCAGTGTTCCAGGAGAAAGTTGTAAGATGTACTTTCTAAAGTGACTAATCATTGATATCTGCTTTATGTCCTGTGATAGAAACATTTTTGACTTTGGCAACAGTGGATTCAGCTTTTGATAAATATCCTAAAGAAAGCAAAGGTAGTAGTTAATTAACCTGACAAGCATACTTATGAGAATGAATTCTGTCTTTTGTCAGTCATAATTGTATTTTGTGAATATATTTAGCCACACAGCAATTAATTATGCTATGGGGCCAGCAAACAGAACTCTGTATGTTTGTACTTAAGTATAATGTTATGCATTTCTTCCTATGCATTGTGAAATTCAGTATTGCTCACCCAAGACACTGTTAAATATTCTCCTTTGTCAGATATTATTTTGCAGAATTCAAAATTCTGATATTTATTTCGCCAATTATGGTAGACACCAATCACAACTACATGTATCATGTTTGACAAAGGGAGGTAATTCGCTATCATTCACATGGCATGTCATTGACAATCTTGCATTAAGGCATCTCATTATATGTACACTGTCTGACAGAATTTGATGCTGTAAGCATCATCCCCACACGATACTAATGTCTTGATGTAAACTTGAGAATACTTTTATGGCAAAGGCCTTGTCAAGTCCTGTTCAGTATTCCTTAATCTGATGTCAGGCTGCAATTGTACTTCAGGGAAAACAACATTTGTATGTGCAGACAATTCATTCAAAACTGCAAGTATTTTGCATGAGATGTTATAAAAATCTAAATTATATTCCTTATTATAATTAAGAGAAAACATATTCTTTAAAAGATGTATTTTTATAGCAATGTTCATAAATATAAAACTTGCAATATATGTTGAACTACACTATTGACATGTAGTCAGGATGCAATCAAACACTTTGTGGAGTATCACATGAGAGGACTTTCTGAAAAGTCATGTTACAAATCAAATAAATGATCAATATTACAGATGACACTTTGAGTACGAAAGTAAATTTCACTCCAAAATAATCATGACAATTGAGAAATCCCCATCCACTGTGCTGTATGATATCACAATATTAAAAGAGAAAGCAATTATAATAATGAATGATATTTAACAATAGGTTGGAACTAAGCTGTATGAATAAACTGTTTGGTATCAATGCTTCTGTTACTGAGATGATGTGATAATAAGCATGTCTGAGACATCTGAGAGAGCACAATTGTGACCTTGATTTGCAACAGCACAAAGCCCAACAGGCACATGCAATCAAAATGATTACTTGCAGTCAATAATTGTACAGTCACATTCTTACTGTAATTCCATATGCGATTCTGTTTTGTTGACAAAATTATGTTATGTTATAATGATTTGTTGCATGAAACAATCAAATCATATGTTTCAACCAACAAACATTTGCCTTGTGCTACTGTATCATAATGAAGTGCTACTAGAATTTATCTCACATTATTGCATGTACTTGTTACACCTATGCAGCTTAAGTTTTTTTATGAAAGTGACAGGACAGTCACACTGTTTGCTTCTGTAATTACCTAAACTTTGGACTTGACTAGTTCCCCAACCATCATGAGTTTCAAGCCTAATGTTGTCAGCACCTGACAACAAGACCACTTTGAAAAGCACTTTGATGCTCTAGTCTTCTATTTGAAATTAAGTGACAGGTTTGGAAATAGTGTTTTAAGGTCATATATGGTATGGATGAAGATATGCAATAAACAATCAATATGCAATACAATAAATTATTGTTTTATGTATTTTGAGTACTCGTTATGAAGAGCAAGCAGACACTAGACCATTTCATTGTGTAAAAGTAATTACATTTCTAGTCCAAGGTTTAGGCAGTTACTCTTCCATATTGTTTTGATTTGGTGAAGCCACATTTGTTGCTTTTATTCCAACAGTGTAAACATTCTTCATACACAAACCATATCAGTTTTATTCTTTTGCTTCCTCTAAAACAATGAAAACCAATTTTATGTGTTTTCGGATGTTTCCATAATTTGATATTGAAATAACTTAATTTAAATATTATAAGGCTGAATAACTAAAAATCTCATAAAATAACATGAATGAAACTGTCATACATTGTTCAATGATATATAAAAAGTAGGCTTTTCTTTGTAATCTCACACATTTTCTAATTCTGACCATTAAGTTCAGGTGAAGTCTTATCCGTTTTTGTACAGTATTTACGGAAAGAATATTTACTCAGAAATTGGCAGTTTTTGTTCTTCACAAAGTACATTTGGACATAATCCTTGTACCTGTTTCTTACTTACAATCATTCCTTAAATTGGGGCTTTGATGACAGTCACATATCTACTTCTAATGTCAAGTCATTTGAATCAGAAAGATGCCAGTGTTGACCCCATAATACCAAGTATGTTAAGTGATATCTTACATTATTTGGTTTTTAGTGATTCTGAAAATAATAACTTATTTTAAGAATGACTGGCAGAATGTCATCTCTCTCCTGTCTAGACAGTTAGCTTTTGAATATTTAAGTATAGAATGTGGGATTGGGTTGAATGGGGATTTTCCCATGCCACTAAATTAATAAGTATGCAGATGAACTATGACCTCAAACTGAGTACATGAAATATGCTTTTTGTATCTTCAGGATTAAATTGTGTAAAATTGGCATTGCTGAAAGTGATGCTTTGATTTGCTTTCATGGGAATGAGGGAGGGGGGGATTGGATGTGTTGCAACATGTGTCTTATCAGTCCTTGTACATTGTACTTCTTTTATTTATGTCTGTTTTACTTCACTTTGTACATACCTATTATATAGATGATCTATCTAATGACAGTAAGTGATACTGTTAACAAATTATGCACAAAGTATATGTTTTATAATTATTGAATTGCATATTGATAATTTATGTAGTTATTTATTGACCTCAAAGGACATGATTTTATTTATTTGGGGGTTAAGAATAAATACCAACTTAGATAAGTTGGCAAGACTTCTTGTGCATTGTCTTACAGATATGAAACTGTTTTTAACATTTCAGTGCTGCAACTAAATTTATTTCTAAAGCATAATGTTTAGGAATCATGCTTTAACGGCAGGAAATCTGTTATTATTTTAGTTATGGACATAGACAATTTCAGTACACCAATTTCTTCTTAGAGAATCCAGAACATCAAAAGCTTTGTAGAATGTACATTTTGAAAGGCACCAGAGACCTGTTTAGTGTTATTTACTTACTACTATCATGTACCGTAATTAAATGTATTGCCATAGATTTAAGTTGTGATTTGAGTTTGCATAAATGAATTTTGATCCTTTTGTATGATGCATTTCATAGTCCATTGCTGTAACCACAGATCATCTGTATCGCTACTGACATGTCCTCAACAAATGTTTCTCTATGAATGAACTGTGCCTATCAGGTGATCATTGTCATGTGTACAAAGTTTTTGATCATTTGGACTCCATGCTCATGCAATATCAGAAGGGAGTCATGGCTGTACTCAACATTTAACTATTTCACACACATTGCAATATATTTAGGCAACAAGTTACATTTCTGTTTTGTAGCTGTAGTTTATTTTATTATTTTAAAGCTGACATTTCTTTTCCAATCAGAAAGAAATGCCAATCTTTTGTGATGTTGCCTAAGAGCTACAAAATGGAAATGCACAATATTTTCCATGATTTTGCTCATACCCTCATGCTCATTGTTTCATTGTAAATATCTGAGCAAACAGATGCAGCACTGTGTGCCAGTGAAGTTATGTTTTGCTGCCACATTTGTGTAAAATGTTGAGTACAGCTCATTGAGTGCTCACACTCATTTCATGGTAACATATTTTTTTTGCATACATTATCTCATTCCCAGGTTGTGTATGTTCTGTTACCGTGGTTTTGTTCTCTGCTTCCATTAGTTGTTCATCCCTCGTGCCATTGCTGTTCATAGCTTTGGCAGACTATGCTGCAGATATTATATATATGCATCATTTCATGTTCATTATTAAATACAAAAATGTGCAGTTATAATATACGACTTCTGTTATTTTTCTCTGAATTCACATATAGCAGGAAATGCACATGATGTGATTAGCAAGAAGATTGTCCAAACCATTGTGTGGCATTGCCATTTGAAAGGTCAAGAAGAAGGTTGTACCATAGAGTTTGGTAGCTGTATTCAATGTTGCCGTCAGTCAGTGATGTCTTGATGCAGATTGGTTATGACTGTGGCAGACTGATGACTACCAATACAATTACTTTGTTGCTGTTTGAGGAACATTGAAAGGGCAGAGTCTGGATGGACATGAATCATTTTTCAACTTTATCAACATCACATGTTGAATAAACTGAAGAACCACTGAAGATATCACTCCTTGACAAGTAGGCTGTGGATATCATTTGTGTTACACAAAACAAGCCATGCATGATAAACAACAATATTTTTATTACACAAATATAATGGCCGTTGATTATCTTATGAACAAATACCAAGAGCTTTGTGAGGTTAGGCTTTCTATGTGATGAAGAAATGACGCAGTTTTTTTCAAAAGCCGATACAGGGAAAGGAGAATGTCTTATGTATTGCTATATTGTTTTTCAGAACTTTTACAGATTGAAATAGATTATATTAATGTATATCCAGCCTTTTCATCTGGACATTTTGGACATTCTAAATAATTTCATGCTATCCCATCTGCATTACAGGTGGAAACACACTTGCCAAACATGCATTCTATTTTACCATGGGGAAAAACTCTCTTGGAAAAGAAACAAATACAGTGTATGCTTATAACTTACATGAAATTACAGATTCAATCATGTTCATCCACATCACATGACCAAAACATGATAAAAGTGATAATGTATCAAACCAGCTCTTCCTATATCCTGTATATAGTAATATCACAGTTAGGGACAGTTATGGATCACCCATACAAGTAGGCCCTTAACTTGTGTGTGTTTGTTGTTTAATGCCATACTCTGCAATATTTCCAGCTATATGAAGGCGGTCTGTAAATAATCAATTCTGGACCAGACAATCCAGTGACTGACATGAGCATCGAGCAATGCAGTTGGGATATGATGACATGCGTGAAACAAGTCCGTGAGCCTGACCACAAAATCCCGTTAGTCGCCTCTTTGGACAAGCATAGTTGCCTTTACGGCAAACCTATTCTCTAACCGCATCTTCACGGGTGCCTAAACTTGGGAATAGGTTCCCATTATCTTTTGCTTGAAAAAGCCAACTCAAATTGGACTGGTGTTGTCAATTTCAAAAAGTTTGTGACTGCCCTGCAACCCAATCACCAACATATTTTTCATACTTGCATGCATTGGTAATACAACATAAACATACTGTTATAACCTTAAATCTTACCTTGAACTTAAACAGGTGTAAAAAAGGTACTTCAGTAAAAAGCTAAAGGGTAAATAGTATTTAAATTTTGAAACCCAAGTGGTTGGCACATGGAAATACATGTTTTATTCATACAGAATGGTGATTAATATAATAGGCAAAAATAGCCACAAAACAGAACATTTGCAAAGGACCAACAAAGTCCAGTTAAAGATATGGTCCTTATTAAATACTATTCAACATTTGCTAAGATAAAAGATACAGAAGTAAATATACACCTGGCACACCTTATTAAGTTTCATATATCCAGAACTCCGATGTGTCTTTCGGAAATATTTACATGTATATTGCATGAGCTTCGTTTTGATAATGACTTAATGTACGACTGCCATACCTGATACATTGCTGCATGTGTCTTCAAATATACTCTGCAAAAAAAGAAATGCAAAAGTGATTTTAGATGTATATTTAAAATATCATATAATTAATCAACAATTGTTCAAAATTGGCACACATGGAACAGTAGATTTTAAGGTGAAGGTCACATGTTCTCAATATCTTGTATGACCACCATTAGAGTCCAAGACTGACTGGCACTGGCCTGGAGAATGTTCGCCCACTCTGCCTGCAGTGCTTGTGCCAACCGTCCGAGATTCTGTTGTTGCTGATGTGCTCACACTCCTTCATCCAGTGCATCCAATAAATGTTTGATTGGATTTAAATCTGGAGACCTGGAGGGCCATGGCAGGACCTGGATGTTGCGAAGCATAAAACGTATGTCATCAACGCATCTTCTGCATTTGTGGTCATACTCTGTGACTTTGACACCATTGACGTAGCAGACGATGCAGGTACATGTATGTCAAAATGACACATCGAACTGGTCGTCTGATTAGCCGGAATACCTTCAGTGCAAAACGTCTCTTCATCGTCTGGGTTGATACCCTACTTAATCCTGGTATTGCTGTAGTTGTAGACTTGCTGAAAGACTTGCAGAAAGATTGTGATGGCATACAAATGAAAACCCAACGTTTGTATGGCCTAACAAGTGATGTTGCAAGTGCATACCATGTTGGTGTGTTTCGGCGCCAGGCTCTCATGTGGTTGTGTTTTTCGGGATTTTCACCAAATCTCTGCAGTACCTCATTCTTTCCACACAAACCAATCCCAATCCATGAATGACCAATTCATGTTTGGGATTCAATTTTATTGATGTCTGCAACACTCTTTCGGGTATTTTACATACAATTTAACTACTGCATTTCTTTTTTTTTGGCAGAGTATAGTTGAAAGTATCAAGTCATTATCATATACAGAGGGGCAGTTGCGAAGCTAGTCCAACTATTTCCATCGAACAATTACAAAACATTTCATTAGATGATCCGATTTCTACTTTCGTTTTTCATTATGAATGTTATTTTGTACACATCAAGCACATGTGTCTCATCAGAAAATATATGCAAGATATTTCCCATAAAGGTTATTTTATATGGCAATCCACAGTATAGGAGGGGCGGTCGGGGAGCCTAGTGTTAAAGCATTCGCTTGTCACGCCGAAGACCAAGGTTCGATTCCCGTCGAGGGTACACTGTGTGAAACCAACTTCTGGTGATATTGCTGGAATATTGCTAAAAGCGCGTAAAACTCACTCACTCACTCACTCACTCACAGTATATAGTAAGTTATTACTTAAAGTATCTTAAAGTTATTACAGGTGTATTTTAATACAGTTTGCACATCGTTTTTTTAATTTAGATCTATACCTCAATGAACCGAACAAATACAATCAAACCTTAAATAAAAATCATGTATACGTAGTGATATCATTAAATCAACTGACGTTATTAATTTATTAAGGTAATAAATATTATAATAATAATCAGTTATCGAATCCATAATTGATTAATTATTAATTATGTCAGTTATTATAATGTTATTTCATGATATCAGCACCTATATATCATTAATACATGTCACGATGCCATTCGAATAATTACTAGCCTACGCAAATATTTTGGTAATAAATACGAAAACGGCTTGCCATATTATGACATTAGCGAAGGTACCAGTGACAATCAAACATTCAAACATGACTTCTAATAGGGAAGATATCAGTATAACGAGGTTTTCGTTTTTGGTCCCGAGACAAATAGCTCGGCCTGGGCCTATCACTACGTTTTGCAGGGGGGCTGCGGATATGGAAGACTCTACCACGATAACTCGCTGGTCGGCAGTGATGTACTAGCTATCGAAATAAGCTGCCCCTGACCAACAAAATGAAAAAGTCATATCACAAATATCAATTTTGATATCAAGGACTTACATCTATGTTTAGATAGTCTGCCGCAAATTCCAAATGTATTGATTCATTCAAGTTGAATCGGTAGCGGGCAGAGTCTAGGCTAATAAGCTTCCAGGAGGGCACTCGCAGTCTGCAATGGTAGAAAACGAGTTCCGGCACGATCCTCGACGCATATTATCAAAGACGAACAAAAAACGCTAAAATTGGAATGGTTCCCACAATTTAATCTCAAGTTTATCTTTAAATAAACAAAATTGTCACTGTCGATATGAGTGGTTCCGTGGTGTAGTGGTTATCACGTCTGCTTAACACGCAGAAGGTCACGAGTTCGAGCCTCGTCGGAACCTCGTTTTGGTTGCCAATTTAAAAAAAAAATGTATTCTTTTGGCCAGAATTCTTATAAAAAATGTTGTTTTCAAACCATTTAAAACATATCATATAGCATTAATATTGTTAATGTTTAGCTGACTAAGTAGTTTAAGCCTCGAGATGGACATTTACACCTGCACTGCCTTATAAGCGCACATAAAATCCACACGAAACCGCCGGTTTAGAAACCCCTGTTCACGTCAAACAGCGCTAGCTCACGCTTCGTTGTTCCTTTGGAAAACAGAAACTCCTTATGTTATGAACCTGCAAATGTTTTAACCTGCTTTCTCAAAAAAAGTTACCAGGTCACAAAATGGATGAGCGTTATGACCGCAATGTCCCGTTTGATATTATAGTTAAACAATAGTCACTTATTCAGCGGTAGAAACTAACAGGTTTGAACCACTAGTCCTCATAATGATAAAATATAGCAAAACCCTTAAAAGGGTAAATTTTTTACTAGTCCTTATGATACCTTTACTTTTGGGCTGTTTGGCAAGGACTACAGGACTAGTGCCAATTTCTAACACTATTATTATTATTATTATTATTATTATTATTATTATTGTAGTAGTAGGAATTCTGTTTTTCTAAAATAAGCAGAATATGCCTAGTTTCACTAATACGCTGAGTGTAACAGTTAACATGCATCCTGCCCCAGGACTTACATGTCTGCCATTACATGTACCAACTGTGATAATGGTGCAGTTACTTCGTGGGAGGTCCTTCTTTCCCTGTTCGCCTGCACTCCCATGCAGAACAACCGGTAAACAAAGACAACAACTCACACCACAGTTTGACTTGACAATGTACCGTGGTATCGCCTGGTAAGGTTGACCTTACAGCTAGAGGAGCCAGGCAGGTTGGTCACCTCAGTGACTGGTGGTGCGGGACACATACCTCACGCTCCATAACAGTTATAGTTGAAACAATTCTGTACTCATCTTTGAACAACACTGGAACACGATGTGAATGAACACCACTAGAACATTTGAGATAATC